GCAAGAGCCAGGTCCTAAGGCTTAGCAGTATTAACTTAAGTCAGTCCCATGAACTACAGATGCAACTCACACAGGAAAGCAGAGTGGACAAAAGCAACAAGCAGAGTGGACAAAAGCAACAAACATAGTGACATGCAAACCATGGCACAACATTTTAAAACTGAAAAAAACCTCAACATTTCAGAAAAAAACCCAGAAATTCAGGTCATCATTACAACATAAATTCAGGCCCCATATGTGCAGTTGCACTGTAAAATTAAACTGGATGATCAATGTAATTTTTGTTTTGTTTGGTTAGTTTTTGTTTAAAGGAAACATGACCACTGCTCATCTCATACAAGAGCTGGGTTTACTGTGAGGTTCTGCCGTGGACTTGCATTCTTTATTGTTGTTGAGGCCACTCTGTATGACGATCTTCTAGCTTATGCAGGTCCCTTCACCCAAAGACTTGCCACAGAAGTGCACAGTTCTCATTTTCTAGGAACACTAGCTTGAGAGCCTGAAGGCTGGTTAATAAAGGTGCATTTGCATTTATCGCTGAAGACAATGGGATTTTTAAATATTTCATCATGCTTTATACTTCAAAAGAAAAATCACACTGCAGGCACCTCAAGCTAAGAGCCTTTAATAAGTGGACCTCGTGTGTCTGTTAGTTCCACATCTGTAAATGCAAGTAAACATCATTGTTCCATTCCTCCATGATATGGTGATAAATTACTCAACTACTGCAATAATAAATATCCAAGGACCCATGAGGAACTAATGATACTCCATGTGTGGGGTGGAGGGCTGTGCCATATTATAAATGTGTATTTATCATACAGCGCTGTTACATCTTTAACAAGCAGACTGACATAAAATATTGAGATATTGATCAGCCGACCTCCAGCTATTCCAGTGCACCACACCAGGCAAAGCCCTCAAGGGGAAAAAGACAGCCTTCAATTACACATATATTTAAAAGCCAAGAAATAAAATGGCAACCTTGACTCAGAAATTTCTTAGCTTTCAAGAATCTGGAACTATGAGAACATCCTTTCATGGTAGCTCCCATAACTCATCTTCTCTTTACACAATGCTTGCCTCCCATGCAAAGTATACACTGAAGCAAACAGCCATCTACCCCTGAAACACCCAGCCCTCAGTTACATAGCATCTTACTTCATACCAAAGCTGTGAATACAAATATCGAAAACATTCATGTCACACATTTGGGCTGAACCTTTATACCTAAAGATGCGTTCCAACCTATGCCTAAATTAAGGTGCAGTCAGACCTACATCTCAGCTGGGAGGCAACAAGGAACAAGGTCTTAAACCAACCTGCATCTGTATTAAAGGGAGTACACTCTGCTCTGCTTGTGTGGGGAGTCAAAATTATCTAGCTTAAAACACTGGCAGGGGAATGGCCTTTTGCTCCCCAGGACTTCTAAGCAAGCTGCCAGGAGGGCAGCCTATAGTCCAGGCTTGGAAACAAGCACAAGTCTGTCATTGCAAATGTCCATTATTAACCTCTCTGTTGTTAGACATAAGAGATGACAAATCTAAGATGCTCTCAACAGTCTGCTCTGAGATGGAAACCAGGGAGGAAGACAGTGATCTAGGAGAGGGGCTGTGCTTAGAAACCTTCCTTGTGAATCAGGGCACCAGAAATTAGCATGAAAATGTCTGTCTCCCCTACAAATGATGATGGTAAGTGCTTTAGTACATTTCTGCACAGTACTTTGCAGGCAGGCCCAGGCTTGCTTTGCTCATGATCCATGCCAGGTCAGACCCAGGCTGACTCTGAACCAGAAGACATGACTCTAGTGCTGACTCTAAAGAAAAATTATCTCTGTCCCTTCCCTTAGCACAACTTGTTAACTTGGACACAGAACTGCGGTTCAGATTTGGCTTGTGTCCACCTGATGTACCCACAAAGACTCTGAGGCCCTCAGAGGCAATCCTACCGCTTGCCTGCCACATTGCTAGCTCTGTGCAGCACCAGAATAACACGGGCTTGAAAATGCTAGGTGACACTAATTGCCAACAGAACTCAGTTACAGAGTCCAAGAGGAAATAATGACTTTCTCTGTCGATTATGATCACAGTTCTGGCACAATTCGTAATTAAATTAAGTAAACATTAACTTCTGCAGGGCCAGATATTCGTACAGCTGCTGATTCTATTTTGTTTATGATGCATTTTGTTGCTGGTAGGCTCAATCGGTTGCACTGAGCAACATTAATAAGGCTTTGTATGCTGAAATTATTGGAATATTAAGTGAAAACATTGTTCTGTATTTTTAAAAGTAGATTCTGGTAGGACTCACAAAAAAGAATTTGTTTTTAAGACAGAAAAAATAAGTGATTCAAAAAACCCATGGAAATAAGATGCTAAAAGCAACACTTTAGGGGTCACTTTGAACTAAGTTGACTTGTTCTGAAAATGGTCGAGTCTTAAATCTCATCCAACATTTCGTTTCAAGAAGGCAAAGACATCTGAAGAAGCTAAATTCTTTATTCTTACTGATAAAAGACTGGTCATTTATTTCTGAAAAAATTTCTTCACAGAAATGTTTAAATTGTTCCCAGAAGAACACAAGGAGAGTCACACTGGTTCAGGCTAGTGACCAAGTTAATGAAATCTGTTGATGGGGAAAGCAAGTTCATGAGCAATTCATTTTATCTTGTCTTATAAGGACACCATTGGCATTGCCAAAACAGAAGATTTAATGGCAAGAGGGTAACATGCCCCTCAAAATACAAACAATTTGAAGACAAAGACAGCAAAGGAGCCTGCCAAATTTATTATGCACATCTATATGAAAAAGTTTTAAAAACTGATCAAATCACGGTATTTTCCTAAGGCGCGGCAAGGTATGACTCTAGCATTATTCTTACTGGCAGATTTAAACAACTTGTGTCAAATTCCTGAAATAATAAGAAGCTGGACAAAGTACTTCTGAAAAAATAGGGTCAAATCCTTTTCGTTGAAACCACTTCTCAAGACATCAGTATGATATCTTAAGGTGACTTGAACTTCAGAAGCTGTATAACAGCAAGGCTGCAATTTTTAGGGGTTGGGGGAAAAGGTGGAAAAAAGAAAACCATACTGTTCAATAATAATAATAATAACTATACAGCCAGGAACATGGTTAATAATGTACATAATCACAAGAAATGTCAAAATACTGGCTTCTACTTTTAAATACTGCCTCGTGGTACATTAAAAAATTCTATACCAAAAGTGCATTTTTCCTTTTATTTTTAAGCAGCCTAATGAGAAAATTATCTTTCATTAGGTGTAATAAATACCAGAGCAAACTGCAAGTTATAGAAATGGATTCTCTCTGTCTTTATATATTCAGATCAAAATTTTCTGAAAGATACACTTCAGCAAAAGAAGTTAACAGACTCAGTGGATGATTGATCAGCTAAGATTTAATGGTCTATGATATCAGAGCGGAGGATCAAGATACCAAATGCTGACTACCAGTCTTAAAAAAAGCCCCACCCATTTAGGCTGAATTATATGTAGGAACTATATGCACATATTTGGTATCAAGAGCTAAATATTAATAATTTATCCTTCTTCTTATTAAAAAGGCTTCATCGTCATCTAAATTTGGGTTAAGTTTCCAAATATGAGCCTAGTTATCTTTTTCTGTGAGAGATTTGGGTATTGTCTGGCACCTGGTACATTTCTTCTCACAGAGGTAATTTTCATTGTAATCTCAGAATTTACTGTTGTTCTTTTCTTTCGTAAATTAATAAAAGCACTTAAAATAGCTTTAATTCCACTCTTCAAAAACACCTCTATAGCTAGCTGCCATAAAAGCATGGGCATTAGAATCAGGCACAGTATCAGTCACACCTGTGCTGAAGACTCTGTATACTACTACATTCTTTCAAAGATCAATTCAAGCTTCTTGCCACTGCATCACTCAGATGATGACTCAGCATATTAACAAACCACCAGATCCTTTTCAAAAATCACTGTTTTCTGTGAACTTTCCCGTCAGCCTGTACCGCATTCTTTGTTCCTATGTGTACAACCCTGCACATGGCTGCATGAGAATGATTATTTTTTTAGAGAATACAGTCTATAAAATGCTGTGAGAAAACTGTTCTTTGACAAAGAACTGTCACAGTGATCCAATATTTTTCTAAGCAATTATTTTGCATTTACTCCTAAGTCTGATGAAACTGTCAAATGGCACAGACTTACTACCACTTTCCATAAAATGCCACAGGAACTGCTTTTCTAGATCTATTAAGTGCTTAATCCCTTTAACGTATGCCATCCTGATGCTGCCCAATGCTAATTTTAGTTAGACTGCAAGTCTCAGGTTTTAGTAGCATGTGGATTGCATCTAACCGGTTACTTTTATTATTACATGTTATTTCATTTGTATAAGATTTATTTTCTACAATACAATCTTAATATAAATTCTTTAGAAATGAAGTAACTATTATACATAGGCACTAGAGAAATATGTAGCTAACTAGAAGAGTTCAATAGTATTTTTGTTTCCTAATCTAACAACATGCCTGTAGGTCCAGGTCACCTTTCAGCCTTTAAAGGAAGCTGTATCATGAATGTGTATTCTTGGATCAAGCAGTGTTTGTTACCTATTACTTTAATAACTCACCCATAACTCTATTATGCTAAACTTTTCAAGATGTTCAGAATAATCAGTGACTCAGAATAAACAATCTCAGCCTGACCAAGAACCCATTGGTATCATTGGAGTCTTTCACAATTACCCAGGCGGCCTTTGAAACAGATCCACCCTTGTCATGCTGTTGACAGAATGAAGGTTGTTGGAAAACAATGATTTCAAAAATTATAAGCTGTCCTGACAGATATAGGAGGTATGTGATTAACGAAAGATGACTGTGGTGAATATCAATGTATGAAGAAAGGGAAAATAATTTGATATTATCTGTGCTATAAATTTATATATAAGTCCATATGGAACAGCAGTAAAATGAAACAACCTCAATCAATCATCCTTACCGATTCAATGCAAAAGCATAATGAAATTTAATGTTGTGTTGATCAGCCAAATCACAGGTAGGAAGCATTTCTAGTGTTTCTACCAGCTTCACCATAGCATCATAGTCCTGGTATGAATTAAGAAAAAAGAAAGAAAATAAACTGAAAGCAGAGGAAAGACTAAAATGGATCATGATTACTAGACAGTATCTCAGCTGACTGTTCCTAGAAGAGTCAGTGAAACAGCCACAAATTCTGTGTAAGGAACTAAACAGGGATTTTGTCTGTCCATGTCAGTACTTGGCTCTTCCTCACCTCAATACTACTGCCCACATTACTGAATCCCTCTGGATAGTTTGATCAATTACACTCCCAGCACCAGGAAGGAGAGGTTATGAGTCTGGCTTTTTCAGGCCTTATTAAGGACTTCTGATGACAGGTCATCACAGACTTGAGCACAGTTCATTCAGTATGTGAGCCGGTTATGCACTCATTTTGGTAACCCACATATACATTGCTGAAGAAGCCAGTTTACTGACATCACAGATGGCCTCATATTAGTTAATTTATTTGTTCAAAACAGGTTTCCAGATGACTACATTTCTCAAGGGAGAAAATCTTTCAAAGGAATGCAAACGATCACCAGAGGCAACCAAAATGAAGTTGAATAAAGTGCTGCAGGAAAATACGCATCCCAGAATGGAAAGCTGGGTTATGCAGGATGATGTGGCTCTCACGACCCATTTATACCTATGAAATAACCAACTTAGCTCCTGATGGAAAAAAAATCCATAGAATGGTTGGAAGCATATTTTAAAAGGTATGTCAAGCAGACAGGCAGGCAGTTTGGAAATTCAGTAAGCACATACAATGGTGACAAGAAATGCATTTTCTTCATTTCTAAATGTATCTGACTTTGGTGTGGGAGAAGGAAGGAATGGAAGGGAAAAGCAAACGTCTTGCTTAGTAGGGGATTTTTTCTTTTCTTTTTTTTTTTTAAGGAGGTTAAAAATTACTAAAAACACCACCTTAGGAAGTCACCTAATCTGTGTCTCCTGTTCACAGGCAAAATAAATAAGAGCTTGAAGTGCCTTAAGTTGCGCAACAGAGAGATCAAACTTAAACACTATAACAATTTACTGTTAGCTTTGAATTACTGTTCAACAAACAATGAAGTATGGAAGAACAAACAAGAGCCAAAATCCCATGCTAAAACAATCTTCCTTAGGCTTTAGGAACATACCTGAATATCTCTGTAAGAAAGAAGTAGGTTTATGACAATGTCTGAAGTCAGCACTTCAGTATTATCCATGCGAAGCTTAATCCTGGCCAGCTCCTTAGCCAGTTCATCTCCTTGATACTTCTCTCTAGCTTTTCTAATATCATGTAACAGTGTTTCTTTGTAATAGGCACTAAAGAAACAAAAGACAGACAAACAGGAATAAGACTGTTATGACACATGGTTATATTTCTAATAAAAAGCATAATTTGTAATAAAAAATACCATTTCCTCAGAGTGAGGTGCACATCAAATGTTCCCACATTTTGCATTAACTCATACATATTCCATCCTACATGACCTCAGACTGTGGGGGCCCTGGTGGCCTTGGTACCAATACATTTACAACCAGGATTGTGAGATAATTTTATCAGCACAGTAAAGCCAGGGCACTTCTTTGTCCCATTACTGACAAAAGCCCCTTTTAGGCACTTCAAAATAAAAATGGCAGAGAGAAAAGAGGCTTTACTGTAGGACTTCACAAAACAATTACCAAAACAAAATCACCCACAACCCTGGTCATAAATGTCAGAGACAAAGTATACAGGTAGCTTTGGACAGCTGATGCCCAGAGCACTGTTTCAGGGTGACATAAATGGTAAGCAGTGCCAAAATTTACTACTACCAATGCTACTAATGCTGGTAGCTTCATGAGCCTGCACTGCTGAGCATAGCTGTCCTGTATACTGACCAACATTACTGAGTTTCTGCCCCTCCTCTTGTCCCTTTCCTCAAACTGGGCCTGTGCTGCCTGCATGCAGCCTCCCCTCTAGCACTGCTTTGGAGAAGCAGGAGGCAGCCTGTGCTTCTTCAGACCAGCAATATCCCAGTCGCTGCCCAGCACAGTGTCACAGAATAGCAGACCTGCCATGGATGGAGGTTCTAAGGGACAAGGTGTGTGTGAGCAGGGTCATCTGTGGGATCCTAAGAGTGGGACCAGGTGAGAAAAGGAGTTTTTTAGGAGAGCCTTTCACTTGGGTGAGATGGCACTGGGGAAAGAGAAAGAAATCCGAGGGCCCTCAGCACTACCTAATGCTTCAGACACTAGGAAAAAGATAACGTAGAAGCTCAGTTTCTCCCAGTGTATTCTAGAAATACAAACAAAACCAGACTAGCTGCAGAGTACAGGGTGAGCAATCAAGAAAGACTTCCACCTCCAGCCCAAATCCTCAAAATCCCAACAGTCCCTTGTAGAAGTGGCTGAAGACTATCACGTTTATTAGGTTATATCAGAAGGCTAATGTTAAAAAAACACAACCAAGCAACAAACCATAGAAATTACATTTGATTGCCAGTTGCTGCCCTACATATACACTTATTTGGCGACAGAAAAGGACAGTCTTTGGCTTTGAGCTCTACGAAGAGGCTGTGATCTTCTCTCTTATTACAATCTTATGCACTGTAAGTTACACTTAAGCACTTTTATCTTATCCATGGACCACCTTTGCTTACTGATATTTCAGAAAGTAACCATAAATACATTTCCAGCATAACATGGTTAGTTAACTGCAACAGCTGCAGGACATCAATACAGAAAGCAGCAAAGTTAGCAGCTTCTCTTAACATTATATTAAGTGCAGTGAAAAATAAAATTAAAAAAATCAATGCTACTAGAGATTCTGCATCTTTTTTCATGACATTAACAAGAGACTATCAAAGGTTCTGGAGGTGTATGTGTTGTAAAATTACCATGAGGTAACATGAACATCCTTAAGAAGGCTGACAAACTTGTCCACCAGCGGGACACAAAGTGGCCCAAGGATATTATCCCAGCTAGGTTGCATGTACTCAGAAGCTCTTCGTTGGGCATCACTTTCACAGCAAAAGTAGTCAGCACAAGGTGTGACGATGTATGGAATAAAATAATAATTGCCACTGGAAGCCTAAAAGAAAAACAGGCACAGTTTAGAAAACAAATGAAAGTGGAAATATGTATACACAGAATCTTTCACTGCCAGAAAATACAGCTAGATTAGGGCTCGTGAACTATGAAGCTTTAGCACACTGTTTAACACATGATCTGCAAGCATTAAATTCAAGGAATTTTCTGTGGAACAGTTACAATTATTAACAAGGGTGATGAATAAGGGTCCAGCCCTCTTAAGTTACAATACAACAAAACTGCTCATCCATGTGATGCATGGACGCTACATAGGGTCTGACAATTACAAGCTAACCTTCTGGTTCCAGATTTTTGAGGTCAGAGATGCACTTGCATCCTCTAGGCACACTCTGTGCTAGGAAGGATATGATGCAGAGTTCCCCACAAAGAGAGAGAAATGCAGAAATACAGGCATTGGAAGGACTTTTTGGAGATTTTTACTCTAGAAGAGCCTACAAAACATCTGCTGCATGCTGCCATCAAACACCATACCAACCAACCAAACTTTGAAATGTTTTGTAATATATCTATGACTTTTAACACAAAATTCTACAAGTGCAAACAAAAAATCCTCAATATTCCACATAAAAAGTGTGCACATGATCAAGATGCAGAAACGGGAGAGAAAAATAGAAATGTCACTCAGTATTCAGTTCCTGAGCAAGACCCCAAAAACCAGACAATTGTGAAATTTTCCACAGCTATGAGAAGCACCACTATCCCATTTTGAGCTACGACAATTCTCTGCTGTTTAAAAGAGAAGCAAACTTTGCTTTTCAGAGTAAAGCCATAGAAGCACTGAAGCATGGGTCTGTATGATACATCTAACAAATTAACTACCACTAAATACCCTTCAACTGCTACCTTGGGGATATCAAGGCTGCAAATACATACAGCACAATAATACCTTTCATTTTCTCATGTCGTCTTAGCCTGCAGTAAAGCCATAGCCATTTAAAGTCACCTTGAACAATGGGAGAATGCTGAGATAATGGAAAGGATGGCTATGAAGATCGCACATTTTTATACGCATTAATAAACTAGACAAGAGAAGTAAACTGCTCAGAGAAGTAACAATGTAGGGCATGCAGGTACTACAAACAGAGATGGAAAAAAAATCTTTATCAGTGACATCCTGCTGCTGATCTGAGTCTGTAAGGATTTAGAATTTTATATTATTTCTAACAGATAAAGATCAAGTCACATTTCTTCCTTATAAACCTTACAGTTACAACAGTATCTCTGTTGTAATATCATTATCTGTCGCAATGTTATCTTTTGTTCCCACTAAAAAAGTCAGAAAACTTGCAACCCAAACAAACAGTATGTTAAAGCAATTTATTCTGAGGTTCCTTCAAATAAACACTGAGTTCAGTGCAATGCAAAAGGGTCTTGTGAATAAACTGTATTCGTAAACATGTAACAGTGAATTAGTTCTTCCTTCGATGAAAAAAAACCAAACCTGAAAGTATTATGTATCCTGTGATGCAGAGAGAGCTGCAGTTATCTAGTGAAAAAGCAAAACAATTTTCAGACAAAAAGTAAATGATGTGTGAAATTATTCAGCCAACTTCTCACCTATTTGACTTGGATTTCTTGTCTCTTTTTGGATAGTGAAATCCATGCAATTATAACCACATTTTTATCCATGACAGACACATTTTTGTGTGCAGAAGTAAGGAAACCTACACATGTTTGAGGACATCACCTTGTCTGAAAAACAACCAGCTCCAGTTTTCTAGCTTCTTCTGTTCAATATATATATATAATAAACTATAAACCCCCTTCATGCAGAGTGGCCTTTCTAAAGAGTCTTTCTTATCTCCATTACATAAAAACACAGTTCTGTCCATCTACTTTTCTTACACTATCAAGGGCTAGAGACGGTTGAAAACATCATCCTTTCTTCTTCAGACTGTGTACTCGGGATGCTGGGCTCTCATACAGAAGGCTAATCATTGTGAAAATTACTGTCCTGTCATACACCAACTATTGCTTTTTAAGATAAAGAAGAAATTACTCAGGTATGTATGAAGTAACATATAGAGCAATTTTAGCAATTTATACATAAATTATGGCTTATTTAATTGTAATAGAATTATAATTTCATAGTTTATAAAGATTATATGCTGAGTTGGTTTACTTCAGGATTAGTAGTTAAGCTATTGTCTTATTTTGAGAATTTTTTTACATTAAATATTACAAAAAAACCTCAAGCAGACTGAAAGAAAAAAATCTCTCAATAGCTCATCTTCCAGTAAATAATGTATGCCCAATATGCTAGCTAGGAAAGTTTCGTATTCAATCACAACAATTTAAAAATCTATCACAAAAAGAGCCTAAAATTTAGGAACAAAAAAAACCCCCAGGAAATAACTGCAAGTTAGTTGTTGACAGAGAGACTCGTTCTTCAAGGGAAAATGGTTAAAGGAATTAAGCATAATGCCACGCCTTTGCTGAAGGGCTGGAAGCGCTAGGCCCACAAAGGCCATTTTTAGTCTCTAGGCAAGACAGGCCAAATGTAGAGTGCTTTTTGTCTTAAAATACTCCTCTAAAAATTCTGATAATGTGGTTAAAAGTAAACTTTTTACCTTAATAACGTAAACAGTCTTTTTAGTTGTACTGTTACAGTTATTCCGATGCAACTGTCACTTTGTGACAGAGATGCTGCACTAGAATTAAAGGGCTCTTTTTTTTTTTTGTTCAATTAAATAACGTTGAGTAAAATCTCTGCATTTTTAGAGAGGGAATTACACCTGCACAGATAATAGCACAATTATTTTACTTAAGCCACGCAGTTCATTTTCCACTTAGTCAAGCATCAAGAGTATTAGGAGGGCTTACCCTACCTTCAAAGCAGTTAGAAAGAAAACACACAGGATAACAGAAAATGAACTGCATTCACTCAAAGAAGTCACAAACTTTTGAATGTTCAGGGAGTTTAATCCACTGTTGTGTTAGGAATTAAGATTTTCACAGTACTTTTCTGTGACATTACATTCCTATCCATCTTGCAATACAGGAGACTAAAATATTACAAGCTTTATAAAAATATTTCTTCTGAAGTTGAATATGCACAGCATTTTAATGTAAAGCCTGTGAAGAGTGATTATCACAAGCCAATCATTCCAAATGCTCAGGATCTGGCTTGCAAGGAACGGGTACTCCAAGATTACGATCACTTTGAAGGAAAGATCCTGTCAAGCACTATTCTAAAAATAAAAATATATAAAAATGCCTAGAAACACAGTAATAAGATGGGATATTCAACAGAAAGCAGATTTAAAGTGATACATACTTTGCCTAACAGATTACCACTGTGGTATTCAGGAGGTACTTGAACCCGAAGAAAAGCTTTGTTGTTGGCAACCTACTCCAAATTGAAATAAAACAACAAAGAGGAAAACACCACCACAAAACAGTGTAAGAATCAAAAAGACAGACATGACACATGAATAAGAGAAATTATTAAAGAAAGAAACAACAGAAAATGAATATAGATAATTACAGCAAGGCCAAGAAAACAGTGCAGTACTTTGCCACTCAGAAGATTTCTCTATCTATATACACATATATATCGCCCTGTGTCATCATTAAGATGCTTTTAAGCCGTACTTTTATGAACCTATGATATTCATTATCTGATTAGTTAACTATAATTCAACTACTACAAATATGCAACCTTTGAGATAATAACATTTCCATAAAAACTAACTTTCATAAATGAATTTTAAAATCCTTAGTTTTCATTATATCAATAGTAACAGTGGCATACTTCATGATTATAAACATGAAAAGTAATATTTAATGGGTTACCCTTTGCCTTTGTACTGCTGCCACAGTCTTTTTTTAGAAATACATTATTAAATGACCATATTATTCAAACTTTTCTATATTGTGAAAATAATCAGAACATAAAACTGGAAAGCCACTCTGAATACTACTTCTTCAGAGTATTACGTTCACATAACATAATCATACTTTACAGTCTTGGCTCTCATTTCAATCCACTGGGGCTACTAAATTGAAGAATATGAGTTCAAGTGCCAAAATCTTTCTATTTAGTTTTCTTAAAATTTCATTGCCTTGAAACAGTAGACACAGTCTAATTTATACAGCTACTGAAACTCTGAAGAGACTTTCTGCCAGCTACAATAAAAGTGATTTTTCAACATAAAGCTTCCTTGTGGCAAGGATAAATTGCAATCCTGTTCCCTTTAGATCAAGGAGAATTTTTGCTAATGACTCCTCCATGGCCCAGACATTACTCTCTGCAAACTATAAGAGCTGCTACAGGATTCATTGAAAAAAAACAACCCAACATTAAAGTCTGATGAAAATACTTCATCAGGCCCACAGGCCTAAGTATACTATAATAAACCTTTTGGTTTAATAGCCAGCTTACTTTCCTTTAAATACCTTCTCCAAAAGCAATTAACAGGGCTATTCAAATTTCTTCAGGCATACCATCAACTAAAGAAAAAATTAATTATTAAGTCTTCCTCTTTGTATTCTGTGCTTGCCATAATAATTTTTCAGAGTGGGAAGTCCTAGTTCGTATTCTCAGTGCTACATTCAAACAAACCGAAAGGCCCAAAATGTGTACCTCAAACTATTTGCAAACAATGCTAGAACTATTGCCAGAAGGATATAGTTTTGTATATTTTGCTTCCATCACTCAGTCTTGCACTTTTTTTATACACTATTCCTTAAAATTCTGTAGAGGGAGAGGAAATTTCCCTATTGTAAAGAAAAGAAAAATCTAGGATAGCAACAAAATGTTGCATCAAAACAGAACATTTTTCTCATGGATTTTTGTCTGTTACATTGGTTTCAGGAAAGATTTTTTTGAAGCACTTTTGCTTTCAAAAATCCTTGAAATTTTGTTTCCCCAGTAAACCAGTATTTATCTGACATCTAAAGAAATTCCAAAGCAGAAGCCCATTTTCCACAAATTTATTTTCACATACCCTGCAGTCCAGTAGCATCCGCTGTGCTCTCAAACCTTGATTTTTTCATAATGACATGAGAAACAAACTGTTCTGCAAGACTGCATATTTGCAATTTATTTTATCGATGATAATTTAGATAGAAACTAGGAAGCTGTACATACACTCTCAGTAAAAATAGCAGAAGATAGACTTTAAAGCTCAGAGGAGCTCTGCAGAAGGAAACCTAACTGATGGGACACCGAATCTTGACCTTTAATTTCATGCCAGGGCAATACTTCCTTGGGAACTAAACTCCCATAGCCAATAATTCTTTCCATTTGTGCGCAAGTATGCAATAAATTATCAATACAGAATTTTAATTGCTTGTTTGGGGGAGTCGAGTAGAACTACATCACAGTCCTGATCTTATCCATGAGAACTTCATTCCTGGATGGTAGAGGGAAGGAAGGAAATTCTCCCACACTTAACACACTTTTTTTCAGACAGTAGGGATTAAATCTCTCAGACTCACACCACTGCTCTATAATTTTCACTGTTAGATCAGCTGTATTCAGGCCAACTCTCAAATGACTTGGTAACCCTTTTTCTATGCATTGCTTTCACCTGTATGTCCAGCTTCCTTCCTCTTGCCTCCTCCTTGACACTGAATTTCCTTGTAAGGAAAACATCCATTTTCTTCAAGGCTTACTTGTAATACACAAAAGAAAATCACTATAGATGACACACTAGACATTCATCTTCTCTGTATCTTTAACATCGCTCCACATCTGTTCTACGCTATGACTTTTTTTGCACCTTTGTACACAACTTAGCTAGGAGATGATGTGCTGAAAAGCAGCCCTGAGGAAAAGGACTAGGGGGTACTAGTAGTACTAGTAGTAGATGAGAAGCTCAACATGAGCCACCAATGTGCATCTGCAGCCCAGAAGGCCAACTGCATTCTGGGCTGCATCAAAAGAAGTGTGGCCAGCAGATTGAGGGAGATGATTCTGCCCCTCTGCTCTGGTGAGACCTCACCTGGAGTACTGTGTCCAGCTTTGGAGTCCCCAACACAAAAAGGACATTGAAGTGCTGGAGCAGGTCCAGAGGAGGGCCACAGAGATGATCAAGGGGCTGGAACACCTCTCCTGTGAAGACAGGCTGAGAGAGTTGGGTTTGTTCAGCCTGGAGAAGAGAAGGTTCCAGGGGGACCTTATAGCAGCCTTCTAATACCTGAAGGGTGCCTGTAAGAAAGTTGGGGAAGAGCTGTTCACTAGGGCACATAGCAATAGGACGAGGGGTAATGGTTTCAAACTAGAAATGGGTAGATTTAGGTTGGATATTAGGAAAAAGTTCTTCAACATGAGAGTGGTAGATCACTGAAACAGGTTGTCCAGAGAGGTGGTGGAGGTCCCATCTGTGATCTAGTAACGTTGTCCCTGCTTACTGCAGGGGGGTTGGACCAGATGATCTTTAAAGGTTCCTTCCAACCCAACACATTCTATGATGCTATTCTATGACTTGAGATCTGCAGGATAAGTAGCAAAGGTGAGGTCAGGGAAACCTCAGAGAAAGGTCCCAGCTACATTAGCCTGCACAGGAACTTTCACTCAATGGTGCGCTGTGCCTGGTAGCAATCTCAGTTGTCCCCATTCCCTTATACAACACAGTGCAGATGCATGGACATAGAGCTTATAAGATATGGAGAGGACTTCTCTTCATAAAACCAGGAGTGGTATTGCTGTGGCTACCTCTGGGTTAGAGAAAACCATAGCAGACCAAATATCTATCCCCTTTCCAATCAGACCCTAATGAAGAGTGCCACATGGTATCTACAGGTCCAATACCAGGCCCTGCTGTAGAAACCATGCCACCAGATCCATCTTTCCTTCTCTTCCACATGAACGTAAATGCTTCCATCTGTAGGAAAAAAGAATCTGCCAAAAGAAGAGATCGCAGGCTGCTAATCTGATCGTGCTAGGCTGAACTTGCCACCGTCCTCTTTGCCTTTACTCCACTTCTGGAATTGCCACCAAATGACTCAGTCAGAATTCTTCTCTTGTTCTGGAGGGGAAGACACAGGCTTGGGACATTTTGATCAACCACCAGTTGATGGATGGAAGCATTCACAAGAAAATCTGTCTCACTCTGAGGCCCCTCTTCACAGAGCTGCAGATTAGTAAATGCAGTTCACACCTCTGAGGTGAAACCAGTTCAAAGATCACCAGGACAGACAAAAAAATGACCTGGATTTACTCATGTGCTCAACCTGATCTATCTTTAGCCTAAATGCAGTGCTGTGGCCAAGTATAAACAGCAGCTCAAAATAAATTACCATGACTAATGCATTATCTCTTCTATTTTAAATTATTAGCACACTCTAAGAACATTTTATTATTTTAGTCTTATATTCTTCAGAAGAAAACAGAAGTATATGGTGAATGTGTGGAAACAGAAAGGAATAAATGGAAGCTCAAGATTTTTGCAAATTCAATAATCCTCAGAATAACAGTGTAGAGTTTTTAATGAAAATAACCACTGATATGATGTGAAGCATGACAAAACAAGTAACTAAGATATTGTGGTATACTGTAATAAGACTAAAATAACCACTAAACCTTATCATGGTTCAGGCTTGCTTACTTGTTTGGATTTACCTGCATTAAGAGTAAGAATATTTTTACTTTGGGAAACAAGATTTTGCATATGCGGGTAAATTTTGTGAATTTGTGTGGAAGAGGATGGGTACACAGTAGTTAAAGCTGTTTGATACAGAAGAGTAAGCCCTATTAAGTCATCACACACACAAATATTTGCACAAGTTGATGAAAGAGACTTAATTTCTGGGGTTGTATTTTGATCTATCAACCTCCATACATAACATATAGCTACTGGCACTTTCCCAGAACACAAAAAGGAAGTTCTAAAAAAGGTCATTTTTCAATCTAGCTTTACTTTGGAAAGCAAGCCAGCAATATTTCCACTAGTTTGAATTGTATATTGGTAAAAGACTTCCTTCAAACATAAAGAACATACATATGCTTGGCAGTTTTCTTATTAGAGTTGCTTTAAATTTAGTACTCTCATTTTACAATTTAAAATGTATGTAGATTTAATACTTACCGTGTTCTTCTGAGTTACCATATCCTGGGGGGAGGAGAAGAATAAAAACATTTATTAATTTTTACTGGAAGTTATTATTTCCAATAAAAATAATGGGTAAACACATATACACACAAATATAGATGTGGTCTTCACAGCATAATCCACATTTCCTACCACAGCAAATTCCAACTGAAGGGACAGAACAACATCAAGAAAAGTGCTAGTAGTTTAGGTTTGGAAAAAATTAATGACTCAAAGCAGAAACCTATTAAAGAAGTGATCAGAAGATGAAGAGAAGTTGTAGTTGCCAGTAATTGGAGTTTCTCAGGCTGCGCACTCCATACACCCAGTCGCATCCTGGGCATTTGTGAGACAAGCATTCAAAGCTGGAGATTTTTTCTCTCTGAAAGAGTATCCTTTATCCTTAAGATACCTAGGCCCATTTCCCAGCTGAATAGGCACACACCAACACACTCCTCCTACACACTAATTCTTCTCATCTTGAAATCTAGAGAGAGATATTGAATCTATAAGGCAGATGAGAAACTAAGGGGCATGTACACCAGACCTCAAAAATTTCCAGTTGCTGTTAAGTAACCTCCTCCTCCTTCTAGTGAAGGCTTACATGTCCAATGAATGCTGCTTGGTGAAACTAAAAGGATCTCCAGGTAAGTCACACTACCAATGTTAGATACAGACTTGTTTCTAAGCGAGGTTATCGATATAATTTCATTGTATGCACTCTGTTAGCCTAAGATGATTCTGCTTGAGCAACTTCACATCTGACAGCCTGAAATCCACTTGGACAACTGCTGCATCGTTTTCCTCAACAACAGAAAAAATATCAGGGATCACCTAAGAGGTTTAGTTCTGAAAATATGACCCTCTTGAAATCCAGATGATATATTCCTTCATATGCTTGGAACTAGGTTGTTTTGGAAAGGACATTGGTGAAAAAGAAGAGACAACTCTTGGGAGAATTTCAGGATGGGTCATAAGAAATAAGCAACATAAAGTCTGGCTGGCTGAACTTCACAGATCTTCCCAGTAGAAGTAATAGCAGTCAGGAATACTGCCTTTACAACACTTAGGCTAGCCACTCTTGAGAGGCATGCACAGCAACCTCGATGCAAGTAAAGTAATAAATTCCTGATGGGAAGGGAAAAAACAAAACAAAACAAAACAAAACATGACCAAAGTAGTCATGAGCCTGAGAATAAAAGAATCACCAGCAGATGGTCAAAAATACATATTAAGGCACTAAAACCTAAACAGCATTACTAATTAATTTAAACTCTTTAAGCCAAATAAAATACCCTAGAACAAAGGTGATGGAAGGCTTAGACACCTGAAATATCACATATCTGAAAATTAATATAACCAAACAAGCATCTCCAGTAGACCTTCACCTACTGCAGATAAAGATCATTCTTAGCAGGGAGAAACGAACTCTTCTGAGAACTGTCCAGCACCTAAGCCATGAACTGTGTCATGAATTGTTCTTCACTGAAGGACACTCAAGAACAATCCCTATCTACCTTCTGAAGTATTCCTAAGAAAGATGTATTAGTATGTTAGAATAGTATCTAACACTGAGCTGAAGCTCAATTGCAGAAGAGGTATCAAGGACATCAGGGTAAGACTGAATCACGTTCCAGTGCCCTGCTTAACTACTCTAGCACTTGATCCAGAGGATCTCTTCTACTTAGTTCCCGGAACTTAAATCAAGTCTTCTGATCCCATATGCTAGGGGCCTATGTAGGCCAAGGAGGTTATGCAAACAACTGGGAGCTGAGGAAGATATCCAGTGGGGCCTCAGTGACACTGAAAGAGTTCCTAACAGAAGAGAGATGAAAGCAGGTAATAGCTTTTATAGCCTTATGTGATCCAGTCATGCTCCAAAGTTCCCACATCGCCAGACTTGTACTTGAACTTTATATCCACAAAGACTTGCAAGTTCTGGCAACAATCTGAAGATCTGACCCATGAATGGATGTGGCGCTGGAAGTCATTCAGCACTCCAGGTATGGAGCATGTGCTTGTGGATATGATAGGCACAAAGTGCAGAAATCAAAGCCATTCACAGATGTTCTCACTGGGTAGAGAAACTTAGATGACTAGCCTGTGCTTCCCAAACTTTGGCACATACTGGGGAGAATCAAGCATATTAACCAAGAACATATTATGGATATTTTCTTATAAACCAGCTTTTATACTGTTCTAATTATTACTATTATTGCTAGCAGCTGTTTTCCTTAGCATGATTTTGTTATGTAGCTACCAGTAAATCACATTCAATGGAAGTTGCAAAAAGCCACAAACATTTGCAGTATCGGGTATTTAAAGACATTTCTGAAATTAAGTAGATTTTGAAGTGAGAACCTTACTTTGAGAGACTGAGCAGTGTCAGCATCAGTGTCATGGTAGAGTATAACGTTATTTGCCATATCGAAGCTTTCACGCACGCCAAGGTGGTAGAACAGTGATGGCTGCTTGGAAATATCACTCATGTCCACAACTGCAACATCTGAAACGAGAGAGGAAGGGAAATAAGTGCTAAAAAACTTAATAATCTTAAAACCAATTTTATTCTTACACAGTATTTAAAATAAATCCTGAAATTACACATCTATTTGGACAGACAAAATCAATATATTCAAATAAGAATAATTTTTCTTAGGGTAGAAATTAATTTTACCATGCATATAAAAGATAAGTACCTACCTGGGAAATTACCACAGTGTTACAGTAACTAGGAGGCAGAGTTCATGAATTCTGCTTGAGGTTTTGAAATGACTGCATCAGGAATATCTTCAGTGAAGAAGCAGTTCTGCATTTGCTCTCTGAGCTAAGCCCGACAGCCTGAACACCCAATAGGATGGAAGGCTCCAAACCCTGAGGTAGAACCTCTAAGAACAATCACTTGGCCAAAATTTAGGGAAAACTGTGAGATCAACTTTATCTTAAGAAGCTGAGGTTTGGACCACAGGAAACAGAAAAGACTGTGAAAGTTGGCTCTTAAAAGCTACAGGCAAGATGTTCCAGATGGGGAGGTGCAGGAATGAGAGGATTCAACCACAAGTAACCAGAGCAAGACTTCCACTGCTTTTGGGTAGAATTCCAGTCAGAAATGGAAGTAAAAAAAATTATGTCGGTGGAAGATGACCTACACAGAGAGCCAAGAAGAAATACTTCATCTTATGTAGAACACCTGAAATACAGCCAAAAGATTCTGAGTTTATCATGTGGTTCTTGTATAACCCCAAAGGCCAGTACAGAGAGAAGAGGTAACTGGAGAAAGGGACACTTAATGCTGAGTATTTTTCCCTGATCTTTATAGCCTCTATATTGCCTAAGAAAAATTTGTTTTAAAGCTTTTTAAAGGCTTGTATCTATATATTTGTCTGCTTTTGCTGCTATGAGATAGATGCATGAACTTATATCCAAAGTATTCACAAGACTAAAGCCTTGGCATTCACACCACAGGGGAGTCTGAGGTTCAAAACAGATTCCAGAGACTCGGTGCAGCTGGGCAGTAAATCCTGCATCTCCAAAGGAGTAACAGTGTCTGCACCTATAAGGAATGACAGTCAAGGGTGAGCTACTAACAAACGAGAACTCTAAAAGCAGGTCTGGTGGATAAGATTCAAACACAGCGACCAGTTTACCTGGCCTTCACCAAAGTTACACATCACAAGAACAAATATCCCATACTTAGCATGCAAGTTCTTGGAAAAGCCTACAATGAATATACTCTGCTGTACATCCCACCAGGCTATGCTGACACACCACACTGGGGTCAGCCCATCCCTCTGCTTACTGACGGACTCCCTGGTAAAGCACAAGGAATGCTTTCAGTCCAAAGACAATGACCTGCCTTACAACCAAACATCACCATTCAAGAGAAAAAAAAAACACCACTTCATCAAAACCCAATAAAACAAAAAAACCCACACAAAAATCCAATCACACCTTTCTCCTCCCCAAAAAATCCAAACTCCAACACAAAATGATGGCAACATGAGAAAATCCCCTTATTCCTGTGGAACCTCAACTCCTGCACCATCTACTGATCATCTTTCCAGTTCCTGTTTAGCCAGCTCTCTACAGCATGGACAAAAATCTTTAGTACACTGCACACTGTAGTGTCACACAAACCACGCAGGCTTGAAGCAGTAAATCTCAGTTCTATACAGGCATCCAAATCTAGAATACACAAATATTAAAAAAATCATTTTGAATAACATAAATTTTCTATAGAACAAAAGTTAAGCCAAAGTAACAAGCAGACCTAGATTCAAATACCATCTGGGGAGGGGAAGTCTAAGAGCTTGGACTGATTTTAGCACTTGTACTGTTTTTGTGGAACTAGTGCTGTGAAATCAAAATCACCTTCCTGGAAAGAGAATTTAGACAATGCACTCACATAGCACGCAGCTACTGCATTTTACAATACAATGTGAGCAATGATTCGTAACAGAGTTTATTGAAACAAGACTATACACAGTTCATTGCCACATGTAAGCAGCCTACAGCTGAATTTTGTCTTCTATTGACTGCTGCTAGATAACAATGTAAGTAGCATCAGAAATACATTAAATGGACATAAGAACAGAAGCAAGCATATGCATTAAAAAGGGTAATTATTTGTCACTCAGCTATTCATTCACACTGACAAGATTTATGAAAATTGGTTCTTCTTGTTTATTTACTCCTCATGAAAACAGGTGTGAATAAGGTAAAATAATATAAAAATAAAACAAATGGAAGACGAGCAGAGGTATCACAAATATATGCATGAAAATGAAAAAAAAAAACCAAAACCAGGAAGATACTGAAATGGATCCAATCTGAACAGTGGAATCAAGGGATGGCAAAGAGGAAAATGACAGCAGACAGAAACAGAACATCACAAGTGCCAGTGGCTGCGGACTGGAGCAGGAAGAAGAGGCTGCATTCGCAGGAAGCTCTGCAAGCCTCTCTCCAGCAGGAACAGCTCCAGGCTTGGAGCAGGGAGCAGAGAGATCTCTTTCCAAACCAGCTTTACTAATGTGCTAATGAAATGTAGCTTGAATCCAGTGGGAACTAAAGAAATTCATGCAAATTTGGGTGAAGAACTGATGACCAACAATAAACATTTATTAAATAAGCAGATCCCTAAGACGTCTCCAGTGAACAGGGTGCTGAGAGTACAGTGTTCAGTGTCACTGACCACTGAGTCTAAGCAGACTACCCAGTATACCACTGTTTTCAGGGTTATATCTCTCTTCTTGGTGTAGACAGTTTTGTGAATCGCTCAATGTACAATGCTAATATGTGACACCACAAATATTTCTGTTTCGGTTCTCCTGTACTTCTTATGATTTATGCTAAAATCTTTCATCTATAGTTCTTTAAACACAGATATGGAGCCCTGTACTTCAACTACATATTTAGTATGGCTGATAAGAAACAGATAAGGATTCCCTTAGACCTCCTGAGGTACATGAAAATAAATATTACAACACTACTATCTGCTTCACAAAGATTGATTTATAAATAGAAACCTAAGTTAATCACACTTCATCCTTAACTCCCATCCTCCATATCAGGAGAGTCTGTTTAGCCAAACATACTCCTGGGACTACCTTTCCAAATTTAGGCTCAGCCTCCTCCATTATAGACAAGTGTAAAGCAAGAGCTGATGCCAACTTTGATAAAATCTTTTAATGAATGAGGAATTTTATGCAATAATGGAACTTTTCACATAAGTCCAGAAGGCCAGTGGATATAGTTTCCTATGTTCAACAGGGGAAGGTACAAACCCTTTGTGAAGACAGAAGGCTTCCAAGTGAAGTACAAAGAATTTTACAATGCATCCACCAGAGGCTGTAGAGGGGTAGGGATGTGCTTAATTATGCACATGACCAATTTTGGATCAGAACACTTAAACTCATTCATTGCTTTTTTTCCTGCAGCAGTAACTTACATTCAAAAGAACATACCCATAAAAATGTGTCCTTCCTCATTTCTGCTTAGAAATATTTTCAACTCTTTTTGTTCTCTCGTAGTTGCACATAAAACTATTTTTATCCTGAAATTAGTTCTCTTTTGTCACAAACCCAAAAATTGATCTTACTTTATTAAGTATCTGATTGCATTTCATGTGTCTAAACTTCTGTCTCCATTGTAAAACAATTATGCTATGTGTATATTTTTTAGTGCATTAAGGTAAATCATCAGTATTACTAGCACAATCTTCATTAAGTCTCTGCATTGTTGCAGCAGATGGCTGTCTCCATTTAGGCAGCTCTTCTATCATCCAATGACCCCTTCCCAACCAAGAAGGGGCATTGGGAAAGGAAAAGAGACTGGGGGTTAAATTGGAAGCAGATCTAATAAAATAATATTTTATTACCTGGACCTGGGGGTGCTGGTTGACAGTCAGCTTAACATGAGCCAGCACTGTGCCCACGTGGCCAGGAAAGCCAATGGCATCTTGGCCTGTATTAAAAACAGTGTGACCAGCAGGTCCAGGGAGGTGATTATCCCCCTGCACTTGACATTGGTGAGGCCGCACCTCGACTTCTGTGTTCAGTTCTGGGCCCCTCACTATAAGAAGGATGTTGAGACTCTGGAGCGTGTTCAGAGAAGAGCCACAAGGATGGTGAGAGGTCTGGAGAACAAGCCTTACGAGGAGCGGCTGAGGGAACTGGGGTTGTTTAGCCTGGAGAAGAGAAGGCTGAGGGGAGACCTCATCACCACCTACAACTACCTAAAGGGAGGTTGTAGAGAGGTGGGTGCTGGTCTTTTCTCCCAGGTGATGGAGGATAGAACAAGGGGTAACGGCACCAAGCTGTGCCAAGGGAGGTTCACGTTAGAGATAAGGAGGAAGTTCTTTACTGAGAGGGTTGTCAGAAGCTGGAACAGGCTGCCCAGGGAGGTGGTGGAGTCACCATCCCTGGATGTATTTAAAGAGCGGGTAGACGAGGTACTTAGGGATATGGTTTAGGGGGTAGATAGGAACAGTTGGACATGATGATCTCAGAGGTCTTTTCCAACCGAGCAATTCTGTGATTCTGTGATTAATACTAATATAAAGTACACAAAGTTATACACAATCCATATAGCGGTCACGAAATGTGCACTCCCAGCAGTGAATGCAAGATGTCATGCACTGTGAGCACCACAGCTCCAGCAAAAGTGTGACAGTGACAGCAAATGGAGGAGTAGGCCCTGGGAGCAGAATGATGGGCAAGACCTTCCAGGGATAGCGACCACTGAGAAGGGGGTCATCCCCAGGAAACTTTCCAATTTATTGTGAGCGTGATGTTTACGGTGTGGCATACTGCTGCTGGCCAGCTTAGGTCATCTGCCCTGGTTTTTGCTCCTTTTAGTTTCTGCACCTGGCTAACTCAAAGCTGCTGAAGACCTTGATTGCTACAGAAACCTGAATACCAGGGCTGCCAACTAATCCAAAGTGTCTCATCACCTCTGTTCCCAAAAAATCAGGAGCTGCAGTCTTCTCAAA